GACAGGGATTCGAACCCGCGACCCTCAGATTGCGAGTCGAGTGCCTTAACCACCTGGCCATGCCGGGCCCACAAAATAAATGACCAAGGCTCACACTATCGTGTTAATGTGGAACTAGTTTGAACTATCTGTTAATAGTAAACAGTACAGCTGAGCTAAAACTAACGTGTGTGTGTGTGAATTTACAAAATAGTGAACATGTTTTGTTTTTATGGTTGTGTTTTGAAGTTGAAAGAAATGAGAAAATGTGATGTTTAATACGTGTCAAGCAATAAGTAAAATAAGGTTTGGGGTTTCAGAGACGTTGTTTATGGACTACATTTGTCTACGAAGTTTTTTTGGGCGACATTTCGAGCTGCTAGCACAGATCTTCATCATGCGGCAGCATCTCGAGACGTCGTCCAAAAAACATCCTAGACAGATCAATGAATTGCAACTACACTCTGATCCGCCAATAACCTCCTCACAGGCAAGAACGTTTTAGGTTCTCATACCCAACACTTATCTCAGTTGACTTTTGTATATTGTTCGGGAAAGAAGACATGGGCAACCGCACTTTGTCTTAATGGTGTCAAATGTGGAATATTCATTAAAACACATAAAACTCTTAATTGGGCAAAACTTAAACGTGAAAGTTAAAAAAAAAGCTTACTTAGTGTCGTGGTGAAACTTAACGAATCTCTAACAACCATGGCTCTTTAAACTAATTTTCCTAAATTACTTTCAAATCCATGACTTTGGTGATTACAGAGTCCCTATTAACATATTAGTTACAAAAACAAATTAAACGAAAATACCACAAATATTACGATTAATGCCACGAATTACTGTTAGAGTCTGCTGTGTATTTTATATAGAAAATGGGTGTTTTCGCGAAATGCTTTTGATCAGTTATTTACCTTAATGTTGTAACAGGCAAAAACATAGTGATCGGGGTATAATGCAATATGCGGACCTACTGGTCGTCTGAACGATTACAAAAGTCTGTAATTTGAATGTTAAACATGATTTAATGCGGTAGAGCAAATCATATATTTAAGTATGATCATTCAAATCATTCTTCTATGTTGTGTTACATTCGTGTGAATTAGTCGGGATATTATAGAGGTAAGCAAGAACGATCAGAGAGATTGCATACCTTCGTCCCGTTACTCCTTTTCGAGATTGCATGTGTTTATATTGGATAACTCAAAGTTTCACCTTCGAAAACTCCGAAACTTCTTCTCAGATCCAGATCCAGAATGATCAACGATCCGGATCATTTTTTGTAGCGTGACGAGAAACCTCAGTCATAATATGGCCATGAAATTTGGTACAAATTCGATCACACTTTACAGAGTTATTAATCAAAAACCGCGAAAATAGCCTATCTCCCCATTATAAAAAAAAGCCTCAAAGTGATCCAGAACCCGGATCCGAACTTTTATCCGGATCAAACATGGAGAGAACTGTCCCATACTGACTTCCCACCTTGTGTAAAATTTTCCTGTACATCGGCCTATTAATTTTCGAGTTACGCGTGCCGAACCACAGACACGGATCCGATTGCAATACCCTCGTAGGGCGAGGGTAATAAAAGGAAGAAAACGATGATTCTTAGACACTTAAGCCGACTAGTTTCGGTAACATAATGACTTTCATCAGGACTGAGATATCGAAACTATTCGGCTTAAGAAACTAATAAAGCTTTACAGGTTATGGTTTAAACGCTGAAAGTTATCGAATTATTAGAAACCGATAGGCCTAAAACTTGTGATAAAAATAACGTAAAGTGCAACATTTCTCTTAACTTATCCATATAGACCGCAAACATTTCAGATCTATTTTCTGTTTCCCACTAGTCCGTGCCCAAAGAGGCCTCTCGAACGTTACCAGAACTCGTCATTTAGGCTGGACGATGAGAGCCAAAAAAAGAAAAAAATAGATTGTCTGAAACACTATCCATATAACGCACCTAAAAAGAAAGTCGGAAAATGTTGTGTTTTATTTGCCGGCGTATTTACAATAAAGGATAATTTAAATTTTATACATAATTAACAAAACAGCTTGTGATAATTTGTTGATTTTATAACACAAATGTTATTTTCCAATATACTACCTTTACTTGGAGCGTTCCAGGAGAAGAAAATGAGACGCTCATTGGGAACAAGGAATAATGTTGACTGGTTTTCACTTGTACCGGAAGTTGTACACTTTGTCCATTTCCACCACTAGGAGCGTCCCCCAAGTCGAGGGATCGTGACTTTTTAGCCAGACGGAGCTTAGCTGGAGAAGATTTCTATAAACACAAATACAAATAAATTGAGTTTAGGTTAAGTAACCTAGGCTAAGTAGAAATAACTGATTTCACACAACAGAAACTTAGCCTACTTCAATAGTAGAAACGATTGATTTTACACAATACAAGTTTATCCCAATACAATAGTAGAAATAACTGATTTCACACAATAGAAACTTAGTCTAGTACAATACGAGAAAGAACTGGCTTTACACAACAGGAAATTAGTCTTGTGCATAAGTAGAAACAATTGGTTTTACGCATTAGAAACTTAAACTGTTATTACAATAGAAAAGTTGATTTTCCACAAAAGAAACTTAGCCTAATAAAATAGGCTAAAACAAATTTAAGCTGTTGTTCTAATAAAAAATACTTGATAATAACTTAGCTTGATACAGAAGCAGTAAATTTTACTCACTAGAAACTTAACTTGACAGAAACGATATATTTTAAACAACAAAAGAGCCTCAAACAGGCTGAGTAACTAATTTTAGTTGTGGATTAATGAAAGATAAATCTCTAGTATAGATTTCTTCGAAAACAAGATTCAGCACTGACGATGGTCTGCACATTGCAAAGTGATAATTATTGAATTGTGGTTTGGTTTATGTGAAGTTCGCGCAAAACTACACGAGGGCTATCTGCGCTAGCCGTCCCTAATTTAGCAGTGAAAGACTAGAGAGAAGGTAGCTAGTCATCACCACCCACCGCCAACTCTTGGGCTACTCTTTTACCTACGAATAGTGGGATTGACCGTCACATTATAATGCCCCCACGGCTGAAAGGGCGAGCGTGTTTGGTGGGACGGGGATTCGAACCCGCGACCCGTAGATTGCGAGTGGAGCGCTCTAACCACATGGCCATGCCAGGCCTTATTGAATTGTGATCCCAATACGGAGGGTTGGTAAACTCGAGGCATGCAAGAACCGGGGGTGGGGATAACACGTGGTATGTTATAGACTGTAACACGTAACGTAGATTGCATAATATTTGATTCCGTAAATAACCAGTAATTCTGATGACCTGATACAAGTTACAGTAAAACAGAGATGTTGATGCAAGTAACAATAAAGTAGAGATCTAGTGAACTTCCCTACTGTGTTGAGAACATAGATCAGATCGATCGTTTCATCTCACTAAAGTAACAATAACGTAAAGATCGAATATACTTCCCCACTGTGTTGAGAACATAGATCTGATCGATCGTTTTATTTCACTCAAGTAATAATAAAGCAGAGATCTAGTAGACTTCCTACTGTGTTGAGAACATTGATCAGGTCGATTGTTTAATTTCACTGAAGTAACAATAAAGCAGAGATCTAGTAGACTTTCTTACTGTGTTAAGAACATAGATCAGGTCAATCGTTTCATTTCACTCAACTAACAATATAATAGAGATCTAATAGACGTCTGTACCGTGTTGAGAACATTGATCAGGTCGATTGTTTAATTTCACTGAAGTAACAATAAAGCAGTAGTGAAATGAACGATCGATCTGATCTATGTTCTTAACACAGTAAGAAAGTCTACTAGATCTGACCCCAGTCGTTTTGACACAGTACAATGCTCACAAGTGTAGAGAAGATCAAACTTAGTTTTCAGTAAGTAGTATAATAGGGATGGGAAAAGATGAACAATATTTTAAATGTAATGTTCGTGAGTTACACCAAATCAAATTAAATTGAAGTAGCTGCTGAGATGCAGAAGGTTCAAAATCTTAAGGTCGACGCTGTCAATACGCCTAAACTAGTCTTTAATGAGTGACAACTAGTCGCAATCATGATCTAATTTGATGCTAACCCATCACATAGAATGGGAACTACACGCGTTTCAATTTCAATCTAAAAACAATCGAATTTTCGAAAGAGATCTTGCATGTATGCTACACTGCTATGTATTACACTTCTTGTTAAAAGGATCTTTATCGTTTAATATACGAACCTCAGTTGTAGCATATGTTTCATGGTGTCCACCAGGATAGGAAGCCTTGTTCCCCATGACAATCTTCTCACTTAGCGGCTGGAACGAAAATGAAGCCGTCAAACTTTTTTCATCACTTAGAAATAAGTAATCTACAACTGTGTTCAATTTATTATTTATCCGACAATTATTTACTGCGCTAAAAGATGTCGTCTCTCAAACCACGTACGCATAAATAAAGGTTGAAAACGTTCTGTATCTTCACCAATAGCGTATAGGGAAACTATTCAACACAATGACGAATTAATAGAAAAAAAAAACACCAAATCATACTGGGAAAACCTTCACCAATAACAAAACGAAAACAGTTTTCAGATATCTAGAAAAAGTACAATTTTAAAAGGAAAATATTTGCGATAACTAGTATAATTTTTCGGTTTTAACTTTGTTGTTAGGGCGATTAGTTCTCCCACAGTTTGGTTGTGTTTTTTCTTATATACATACACATACACGCATATAGCGAGTGACAAAGAGAAATTCACTGATGCTATTCACGAAAGAGAACCCTAAAAACATTCAAACACATCGCAATAACGAATTCCCTACATAATTACCTGATACGAATAGAAATTACTATATGAAGATGACTAACTTCTTAGACGTGCTGTATAACAGTAGCGAAATCTAGTTTTCAAATCACCCTTCATTCCTCCTTGTTATTTATATATATATATATAGAGAGAGGTACAGTTGCGTAGGAGTATGGCTTTAGTTTCACACCTGGGTTTTTCCAAACTAATTTTCTAACTTCTTCTGTCTCTAGGGAATGTATCTGACGTCAGAACAAAAATAATCAATGATTAATTAGCTATTAACAGAAGCAAGTTTAGTAACACCAAGCCGAGATTCGCTGCAGTTTTCCCAAAAAACCGAGCTACTGACGTTTGGGCTTCTCGATAACATACTAGTCAAGCAAGGAAGGCTTATGGTGAATGCTGTATACGTTTATTCTAAAGAACATAAGTTTTCTGTGAAGTGTGTATAATTTTCATTTAAAAAAAATCTGAATTTAAGTAGGTTTTTGTTTTTTCTCTCACAACTAAAAAAGCGTTTTTCTTGCTGCGTTGTAGCACTATATTTCTTAATAAAAATACCCATGATATGTCAGCCATAAGTTCACAGACTTACAATACAAAATCTGGGGTTCGATTCCCCACAGTGGACAGAACGTAGATAGTCCATTGTGTAGCTTTGTGCTGAAACAATAATAACAATTTAAAGGAAAACCGCAAAAATAAAACCACGATAAGTTTACGTTTTTTTGTATGTTTTTATTCGTATACATATATACTATTCGAACAGTTTGAAACATTTTTAATAGACTGCGCTTCGGCGTATGAATCAGAAATAATCTCATTCTTTTTAAGACGTAAAAATACATTTTGAACATAAACCGTCGTTATTTCTGTATCGGTAGGATCATAAAGGCATGAATTGTAGCTCCAAAAATCATTTGTTAACTCCTTACTCAAATAAAAGTGGAAATGGATTTTTTTAACTTATGCGCAAGGGGTTAAATGATCAAGTCAAAGATCCCTAGAGTTCAGGCATAGTCGTTCAAAATTTTGAGCTACTGACTAGAGGGAAGGGAGTCAGTCCATAAAACCCGCTGCTAACGGTTTTGTGCAGCTCTCCGAACCCAATAATAGAATTAATTGTTAATTTCATAACGCGTTTATGCTGAAAGTGCGAAGACTGTTCAGTGGAATCACATCTTACATCTTGTATCACACGATCCGCATCCTAACAAGTTAAGCACTATGTTATGCCTGCCCCAAAATACATATGTTTCAATATATATATATATATATATATATAGATAGATTAGTACATTATTTCATCCAATGGTATTTTTCAAGAGTTTCAGTATATGTATATATATTGGTTTGTGAAATATAAGAATAACAAAGGTGGGGGAGCCTCCCCCTGTGCCTTCCCCGGCAGCGCCAACCACTGGAAAAAAAACTGCTTTATAGCTTTAATTTCTTTTGATACTAATTCCTACTTTGATCTGTGTAAATACTAGGAAATTATCACGGCAGGTTTTAACAGGTACTGCACCCTAACTGGAAGACATTTCTAATGATTGACTTTTGTGGACAAGTGTAGGGAGAATTATCTTTATCGAGATTCCTCAACTCAGTCCTCTAACTGTTGAGCCCGGCATGGCCAGATGGTTAGGGCTCTTGACTCACAATCTGAGGGTCGCGGATTCGAATCCGCGTCACACCGAACATGCTCGCCCTTTCAACCATGTGGACGTTATAGGTGACGGTCAATCCCGCTATTCGTTGATAAAAGTGTAGCCCAAGAGTTGGCGGTGGGTGGTGATGACTAGCTGCCTTCCCTCTAGTCTTTCACTGCTAAACTATGGATGGTTAGCGCAGATAGCCCTCGTGTAGCTTTGCGCGGAATTCAAACCAAACCTGTAGCTGTTGCTGTCACGTCAAATAATTGTAAAGTTATTCAGCCGCTATAGTAAGTAGTAAGTTATCAAAGCAAATAAGAACACCGAATTCGTATTCTAAATGACATAGTAAAAATAAAAAGAATAACTGATAAGTAACAAATAACAACTAGGACTAAGTTTCTGAAAAATATTCACAAATGTAGTGCGCTACAAAATAGAAAAGAAAAAGGGAGTCTGCTGTTTTGAATACTTGATATCTGATGATATATTTTATATGATGAAAAATACGTGTGCTTACTATCAATATATCAAGGAAATTATTGTTTTCTACACATTATGACGCCTTCAAAATTTAGTATAGGCATTCCTATATTCAACTTAAGCGGTACCTTAAGTGACTCGTGGGCTAAACGGTCAGGTCAAAGACCCAAAGGATTGCACATAGTCATTTCTCATTTAGGACTGCTGGAGGAATAGGAAACCTGCCTGTACAGTTTCTCTCCACCGAAAAGCGGGAAAAGCCTAGTGGCTAATGTATTAGCGTATCACGAAAACGCGTTCCGCACTTTGGAACCGTAGACATACTATAAGAATGGCATCAAATTCCACTATTCCATCAGGCAAGAGGAACCCAAAAGTTGGCGGTTGGTACTGTTAACTAGCTAACTGTTAGTCTAACAGTTCCAAATTACGATCGCCTATGTCGAACACTCTAAATCAGCAACTTATAACGCTCCATAGTTGTTAGTGCGAGCGTGTTCAGCGACATATCATGGGCTCGAACCTTTGGCCATCACATATGTAGTTCGGCACGCGAACTTGTAGGTCTTGTCCTGCCCTTTTGAAATGACACCAGTTTTTAAGTTAAGTATTTATTCTTTTGTGTTATTTTTGAGCAAGTTTTTCTCGTCTTATAACATGACTATCTATATCATCCCCTCTAGCTTAGCGGTAAGCTCAAGGGTTTATAATACTAAGATTCAGCGTGCGATTCATGCGCTGACTACAACATATAGTTCATTACGAATCATTGTGCTTAGCAAAAACAAACAACATATATTCAGTATATATGTAAGCCAGATATTATCCAGAAATAAAAACAAACAATCCTCCTCCCCCATTTTTTTTGTTTGTTTTAATTTAGTGATGCCTCCTTAAAATGTTAAATGTTCTGCTTAAATCCATGTTGAGATCTTATAGTTATATAACTACAAGTTAAACTGTTTGGTTTACCTGAAGTTTCGTTCTGCCGGTTTACAATTCTTATACAGGGTAGGACATAAGTGGTTTGTACTAAAGAAAATATTACGAAAACACCTGAAACCAATTTAATTATTTTTTATAAAGTTTGGAGATGGCTTGAACGGTACGCGATGATAACAAAAGCTTGTCGAGAAGTTGTACATTTGTAATAAAGTTTCTTTCTTCACCAGTTCAAGACGTCTCCACACTTTATTTTCTAAAAAGGTGAGTTCCTCATCATCAAATTTTAATTATTGTTTGTTTTGGAGTAAGACGTTACCATGGTCTAAATGAAACAAATGTACAGACACTTTTGCCCCACCCTGTGTGAAGAATTATTAACAACATCTTGTAAGGTTCAATTAGATAACATGGACTCTGGGATCAAGCCAAGCGATTGTTTTTTTTGTTTGTTTGTTTTAGTGATTTGGGATCTTCAGTAACTCTGAACATGTTGTTTAGTAAATACGTGGCCTTCGTATTCACTGAAGGATATCATAAAGGCGTTTAGCCTGATTTTTGTAGCACAATAGAAACATCAAGTTTGATATGAAAAGATACCCCCTTTTTTATTTACATTTTTATGGTCATTAACAGTACCTATTAAGAAGACACTTTAAGATCTTAAAAAGTCTTAGTTGGTACATCATAAACGTGTGTGTCTAGAGAGTTGGGAACTAGGAGTGAAAAAATATTTAATTATGTTGTTCCTGTAGCTGTTATAATAGGTGTCATATAGAAACTCTTTGATAGTCTTATTATTTTTACGAGCAGAAGTTCACTTGGGATCATGAAATGGTAAAATCATAAAACTGTCAAATCACGAAGAAATGCCCCCAAACTGCCAGATCACGTAAAAATGCTCTAGAACTTCGACTGACTAGTGAATCATATCCAGGAACATATTTACACAATTTAAATTGATGACTAAAGATGAGTAATCGAAAAGATAAAACAAAGAGATTAAGGTACATCAGCAGAAGTCCGTGTAAGTTCGTCATTAAGCTGTTTTCTTGCACATTAATTGTGTTCATCCCTAATTTCCGTCATATATTGACCTTCACTACACCATAATAGACGAAAAATGGTACTTTAATTGCAGCCCCCAGTGGCACAGCTATATGTCTGCGGACTTACTGCTAGAAACGGGTTTCGTTACCCATGGTGGGCAGAGTACAGAGCTTTGTGCTTAATAAGAAACAACAACTTTGATTGCAAAAATTATCCAAGGGAGCATGCACCCTCTAGTTTCCACCTGCTGGCAATCTCACTTTTAATTCTCGTGCCCATCTCATTCGTTTTGCTTCCAACATCTGTGAAGTAGCATTAATATTGAAAAGTCTTGATCAAAAAATTAAAACATATTTTAGGTTAAAATATAAGAAACTTACCAATACTTAAGGCGTTTAAAATTGTTTTAACGATATATTTATTTTCTAAATATGCTTTAACGATGTCGCAAGTATATTGGCAAGAACACAATCAAGTATATTGAAAGATGACTTGATTGAATATAGCATTGCTTTCTTTGGCTTCAAATTATTATAAGATAAGCGTAACTTTGATATAAAGTAGAATCATTAAAATGACACCACATCAAATACAGCCAAGCTTATCTAGGGGGTTGTTACTAAAACCACGGAAGTAGATATTTTGAAAAGAAATTATTACTGTAGTACGGGAGTAGATAACGGAAGTAGATAAAAATTGCAATTACACATATAGGACTAAACTCCAGTTACAGAATTGAAATGTTTCGAATATTTAACGCCCTTCATTTTATGTATTTTCAGACTCATCATGCCCATCTTTGGTTTGCATTCATTTGGTAATATAGTTCCTTCAGCCGTTTGCAAACGTGTGATTAACAGAGAGGAGAGAAGGTTAGTGAAGCCAATATAACCCCCGGATCCTGCCCATAAGCGTTCGCTCGATCGTGGGTCCATTCGCGCCCTGTTGTTGCCCACCCCCTTTCGATCAATTCTGGATCCACCACTGGCCTTGAATACCAAAATCAGATTATTTCTTTTATTTGCCATACATAAATAACTATTGCAGCTGTAAATCTACTATGGTAATTATTAATTTTAACCTTTCTAAAAAACAGCAAAGCGAAACTTCGAGCAAAGGTGTGTTTTTAAAACTAATTTTAACTTACCTTCCACAACACGGGTTCTGATGATTTGCTATGAAACTTTTTTGCTGTATTCGTTGGGCCATGCTTATTTTTATTACTGGAAATGGATAAAAATCGTCTGAAATAACAAATATACAACTTTCAGAAGTGTTATATGCACTGAAATTCATTGGAAGTCATCTTAGATCTCACAGGCGTGAAATAAAAAAGAATCATTATTTCATAAAATCAAAATAGTTTTAACTCTCAAGTTGCCTACTTGTTTACATATCGTTGGATTCTACACATTGCATCACACTGAATAATTTTAAGTGCTTTCGTATCACAACACTCATTGTAAATAATTGAGTGAAAAACTCATTTTCTGCCTAAAACACTTAGAAACACTACAGTTAATCACATAGGTGTCCGCAGGATATATTACAGAGGAGGCAAGATGACAAAACGATATCAAAGCAATAACTAGGGAAAATAGGCTCGGCAAGGCCAGGTGGTTGGGGCACTCGACTCGCAATCTGAGGGTTGCGGGTTCGAATCCCCATCACACCAAACATGCTCGCCCTTTCAGCCGTGGAGGCGCTATATATGTGACGGTCAATCCCACTATTCGTTGATAAAAGAGTAGTTCAAGAGTTGGCGGTTGGTGGTGATGACTAGCTGCGTTCCCTCTAGTCTTACACTGCTCAATTATGGCCGGCTAGCGCAGATAGCCCTCATGTAGCTTTGCGCGACATTCAAAACAAACTAAGGAAACGCAAAATTGATAATCAAGGGGGGGGGGGGCAAGTGCACAAACTAGCTTGGATTAAGATCGTTACGAAGAAACCAAAGCTGCAAAATTTGATAAAACACCCAAGAAAACAAATACTGCTGGTAAGTTTATCGCTAGCATGTATAATTAAATAAATTTTAAATAAAAATTAGTTATGAAATAAATGTCCATGCTTTACTCATTAAGATTTTAGCTCTTAAGAAAGCAACAACAGAAAAGTTAATCTAACAAAATAACTTCGCAACGTTTCGCACTTCTAGTGACAAAATATGATTTGTAATCAACATTTGTACTGCTTTCTTAAAAAATTAATTTCGGTATCTAGGATTAGAGTTTCCCTCTGAAGAAATACATAATCGCAAAGCTAATGAACGTTTTAGGTACAGTGAGCTAACTTATTAGACAAGAAATGAAAACGAAAATATAATGTTATTGTTCTCTCTCTGACATTATTCAAAGTGCAATACTTTGTCTGTAATCCATTGTTATCATTCTTTCTCACATTATTCAAAGTGCAACACTTTGTCTGTAATCCATTGTTATTATTCTTTCTCACATTATTCAAAGTGCAATACTTTGTCTGTAATGCATTATTATTATTCTTTCTCACATTATTCAAAGTGCAATACTTTGTCTGTAATCCATTGTTATTATTCTTTCTCACATTATTCAAAGTGCAATACTTTGTCTGTAATCCATTGTTATTATTCTTTCTCACATTATTCAAAGTGCAATACTTTGTCTGTAAT